CTTATATGCATCTATATTTAAATTATAATACAAAGTTATTTCCTCTTCAAATCTCTTCCTAATTATATATCATCAATATTTAAAAAAAGAAATTCAATGTCCTAAACCTTCTTATTCCAACAGAAGCAAATTCCCATCATGAACAAATTCCATAACTCAATTAGTACACGAGCATGCACAACCTAGATAAGGGAAGGATGAGAGTGAGATTCACTCACCAGCAAAGCCAAAGATGTTGAATCAAAGAGAGTAATAAGCCAGCATTGAGAAAAGAAGCAAAACTCAAATCTCACACTGATACAAACTAGATGTGTATACAGAGGAGAGGGAGAAGATCAAAGCTTTCCCCTTAACTACATGAGTGTGCTAGGGATGTAAAATTGGGGAAAAGAGCTGAGCATTGCTGCTATGCAAAAGGAGAAAGAAAGAAGGACTGGTGTGAAGCAGGGGAAACAGCGAACTCGAAGTTCTAACTTCAACAACACAAATTCTCGTAGCAATAGTCCTCAATCAACAATTGTAAAGGCAAGAAGAAGAAGTTGGACACACCAACATGAAAACAAGATCAGAAGAGGGAGGAATGTCGAGGAAGAGATTGCGGAAGGACACCTCAGGAACAGACAGAATAGGGGAGGGAGATTTCTGTAACATATGAAAACTTTAAATCTAGAAAAAGATTGATTAATTAAGGGATAAATTAATTAAAAATATGATTAATTTATTTAATTATGTTTTTGGGTTGCTAATTGGATTTTTGGGTCATATTTGGCTCTAAATTGAGTTAGGATGAAAGTCGAGAGGTATCGAGGGAGCAAAATCAACTTGTTACTTGCTGCATCGTGAGTTGTGGCTTGTGGGGCATGCCCTGCGGCGCACGGCACAACAGGCAACTTAAAATTTTAAAAATGATAAGAAAAAGTCAGATTTTGTGGTGGGAAACCTAGAGCACGAAGGGGAAACTTTGAGCACTACTAGGCCATTATTTTGGGAGGATTTTGAAGATAAATTAAGCTTTCAAACTCTTGAGTAAGTTTCCTACCCTTCTCCTCTACCTATTCATCTCATTTTCTATAGGATTTGGAAGAGTGAGAATTTGGTCTGATTGGATTAAGCCATGAGTCTATGTTTTGAAGGTTTCTATTGACTCTAAAGGCTTGATTTAGGTTTATTAATTTTGGATATACGGTAATATGAAGCTACTTTGTTGTTTAGTGAAAGTTAGATCAAGCCCTAACTTGATCATGGGGTTTTAAAGTATGATAAGTTGAGATATTAAGTGTTATATTGTGAGAGAGTTAGAGGGAGGCTTAAAGGGATTATGTAAACAAATTATAATCTTAACAAGCCTTTTTGTTGAGAATATGAGTGAGAAGTGGGGAAATTGAGAGGTTATTGGTAACTAATAGTGCTTATGTCAATTGAAAATTAACATATAGTACTTGTTGATGTAGATTGTGGTGTAGGAAGACTTACCTTGACACAAGAAGAAATTTAGTACCACGGGTAACCCTTTTAATAATAAAAGGGTTGAGGTAACTAGGTAATTTGTAATATTTATTACCTTGAATAAGTTATTCTCAAGTTGCTTTTCTATGATTTGTTGAGTACATATGTATAAATTATTTAAAGGTTAACTATTTTAGAAAATGAATGGGGTATTGTTTTGTAAAATTCTATATTTTTAAAGTAAATGGTAAGATTTGTTATATTTGTTTGAAAAGTTGTTTATACATGGTCAAGTGGAGATATGTGGTGAATTGTGGCATATTAGAGGGTGGGAGGTCACCTTAGTAGAGCTAGTGAAAATTAAGTCTATATGGCACTGCTGGCACCTTAGAAGGCCAGGTGCAACATTTACTCTCTTTAGTGCCTGAAAATGGGTGCAGTGTTGGAGACTTGCTCTTCTTAGTACCTAAAAGGGTGTGAAGTTAGAAAATATGCTCCTTAGCATCTGTAGGATGCAGTATTAGAGTAATGGCACCCCAATTACTTGTAATAGGGGGAACCAATAGTCCAAAAGTGGTTTAAGACACCTTGGCCAGGTAGTCTTACCATGGATGGTGAGCTTGGGGACTATACATATGGTTTGGTTCTGTAAAATAGCCTACCGGTTCGGTTAGGAGTATTGGAGGACTAGATGGCTAGGGATCATACATATGACTTGTGGTGATTTTATATATTGTGCTTATTTTACTTAATTTAAGGCTTGCCTATAACTTGGCATGTTAATCAATAATGTATATTATCTTAGTTACTAAAATTTTTATCTCACCCTGTGGTTATCATTTTACAGGTTTTACTGCCGAGACTGAGCCAGGGAAGGAACTAGGTAAGGATTAATAGTTTTGCTACATCGAATAGTAATGCCCGATTTTAGTTTGAGTGGTGTACATAAACTTATTATATGATATCATATGTTGCCAACTAAGAATGCATATCATTTTGATTGGTTGTACTTGTTTCATACTATGTTATATTGTATTTTAGCCCAATATTGTATATGATGTGAATATGTAAAAATTTTTATGCTGACGGCTAAAATACTAATACAAGTGCAAGGAATGTTTTATCTATGTGGAGACAATGTATTTGTAATGTATTATGTGGCAATAAAGGCTAAATAGTGCATGCAGTATTGATTATGTGTTTTGGCCATATTAGGTGAAATGGCCATTGAGTGGCCAAATTTTGTGTTTGTTATGATTTTATATGTTTGAATACTCACTGAAGTGTATTTTAGTCCATTGGACTTGGTTCAAGCCTCACAATGGGTTAATGGTATAAGTTATGAGTTTTGGGTACTTGAATAGTTGAAAATCGCTTTAAAAACTGATGTTTGCATCTGAGTGTCTAAAATTCTGATATAGTGTCAAATCATAACAAAACCTATACTATTAATTGGCTTATCAAATAAGATTCGTGTGAGTACTTGAATCACTCCAATCAGACATCGGATGCGAAAATAATGCGTGTTAGAATTTTATCCAAAAAAGTTATCATAACAGCATTGCTATCATGGACATGTGCGTCGTGGTGTATTTCACGCAAGCCGAGGTGTATGGTACAGTCACAAAACTTGGCTTTCTATGCCACATGCCACGGCACATGGACCACGAGTCACGGTGCATAGACCAAAACACTCAAAAATGACATTTTTAGCCCTATTTTGAAGTGTTTTGCTTCCCAAAACTTTTCCATGCTTTCAATACCTTTATAAATCATTAAGTTTGAGATCAAACTATCAATTTAAAGGGTTTTTAAGGGATCCCAAATATTCCACAATTATTTTTAAAAGATTATTAGTGTTAACCCTTATATAAATAATGTGAGCTTAGAAGCAATCCTTACTCCTAATTATGATTGTTTGTTGTGATTATGTGGTGAATTTTGATAATGTCAAGGTGGACATTACATTTTGGTATCAATTTCTCAAGTTTTAAGATCTGGTTGTGGTAATGTGTCTATTGCATTCATTCTCCTTAGTTGGAAACTTTATATACACAACTTTTTTCCCTTGTCTCATTTCCTTTATTTCCTACTAATTCCCCTTTTCTACTTAGTTTCTTCCTTAGGAGGGGAGAAGAATGGTTAGAAGAAGCATCTAAAATGTTGGTAATTTACCAGAGAATGATGGGCCTATACCAGAGATACAACCAGAGATACAAGTGGAATAATAACAAAGGCCTTAAGGTAATGATGCAATTCTAGAAGAATTATGAGATATGATGAGGAATATTCAGAGAACTGTTCAAGTCCACGACGTTCTATTCCATAATAGAGGTCGTGAAGAGGAACAAAGGAGATAAGAGGTAGCTTATGAGAGTAGATTGCAACTATCTCATGGTATTGGTAGTAGACCTGGATTGTCTGGGATGAAAGCGAATAGAGATGTTTAAAGGATGTCTATTGATCGAGCATGGAGGACTTTCTCTCGATTTAACCCTCTAACCTTTAATGGAACTATGAAGGAAAGAGAAGCAGAGAAATAGATAGAGAGAATTGAAACCATCTTTGAGGTGGTACCATGCTATATAAACATAAGGTGATTATAGCCATAATGTATCTTGTTGAAGAAGCTAAACACTGGTGGAATTCTACAAGATTAATGGATGGATATAAGCTAACATGGGAATAATTCAACGAAATGTTCTTTAATCATCATTTCCTCCAGCATTCAAAGATGAGAAGGAGGCTGAGTTCCATACATTTCAACAGGGAGATCTTGATGAGAAAGCACTTATTCAAAAGTTTAATCAGCTGTCAAAGTTTTTTACTTATCTGAATGAAACCAATGATAGTGAGTGGAAGGCCAAGAGGCTTTTAGAAAAGATAAGACCTGAATATAGACACCAAATTGCTCTACTAGGAGTAACCACATACGCTGACATGTGTAATCGACTTCAAATTGCAGTAAGAAGGGGTCAGGAAGTAGAAGTAGAAAAGAGATGAGATAGTCATGGGAGGTTCTCATCCTCCTTAGGCCCTTCTAGAGGAGTCTCTAAGAAAATGAATTATGGCTTGAGTAGTTTTGCAGCATCAGGCAAGAAGAGTTTTGTTAGAGGATTACATACTCGAGGAACATTTCAAAGGGGAGGATTTAAGAGTTCTAGTGTTCCACAACTATCCTGACAGGCTTCTAATATGCCTGCCCCAACCTTGAGTATAGCTCGATCAACACCATATACTAAGTATGGGTGGCACATCCTGGGAGATGTTGGGCATGTTTTAAATGTAGGAAACCTGGCCATCTAGCAAGATAATGCCTCGAGGGAAGAGTAGAGATGGCAGAGCAAAGATCTACCATTCTAAGATGAGTCTATACACTATCTCAAGAGGAGGCAAGAGCGTTATCAAATTTGATAAAAGGTATTATTTCTATTTGCAAGCAGAAAATTGAAGCATTGTTTAATTCTGGTGCTACACATTCATTTATTTCATACGAATGTGTAGAGAGGTTGGGACTTCTTTTACATGAATTTCCTTATGTGATTAAAGTATCTATGGTATTTAGGTCATCTGATATGACTAGAAAAGTATGTTTGAATATAAAAGTGAGGTTTGAAAATCATTCAACCACTCTTGATTTGATCCGGATTCCTATGAAGGGTTTGAAGGTGATTATCAATATGGATTGGTTAATGGAAAATAATGCCACTTTGGAATGTGCTAGGAAGACAATTTTATTACCGATACATACTACATTGACTAACATTCCTAATGACTCTAAGTTCTTATCAGTGGTACAAGCAGAGAAATTGATGCAACAAGGGTGTATGGCTTATATGATTTTCTTCTCAGTGCATGGGGTCTACGATGAAAGTATTGATAAGATTAGGGTAGTGAATGAATTTCCTGAGGTATTTATGGATGATATATCTGATTTGCCTCCAGAAAGGGAAGTGGAATTCACCATAGACTTAGTGCCAGGAACTAAACCAATCTCAAAGGCACCATACTAAATGTCACTAATTGAGTTAGCTAAGTTGAAGAAGCAAATAGAGGATTTACTTGAAAAGGAATTTATTAGACCTAATGTGTCTCCTTGGGGGTCACCTGTACTGTTTGTTAAGAAGAAGGATAGTAGCTTACAGCTATGTATTAATTATAGATAGTTGAATAAGATGACGATGAAGAACAAATATCCTTTACCAAGGATTAATGATTTGTTAGATTAATTGGTAGGAGCTTCAGTTTTCTCAAAAATCGACCTAAGGTCAGGATACCATCAATTAAGAGTGCGCATGGAGGATGTGCCCATGACAGCTTTCCGTACCAGATATGAGCATTATGAGTTCCTGGTAATGCCATTTGAGTTAACAAATGTGCCTGTGGTTTTCATGGACTACACAAACCACATATTTAGGCCTTACCTAGATCAGTTTGTTGTGGTATTCATTGATGACATTCTGATATATTCTAAAAATGAGGATCAACATGCGAAGTATTTGAGGATTGTGCTATAAATTTTGAAGGACAACAACCTCTATGCCAAGCTTAGCAAATGTGAGTTTTGGCTATAAGAGGTCCGATTTCTAGGACATGTTGTGTCAGCGGAAGGGATTGTGGTGGATCCATATAAAGTGGATGCAGTGTTAAAATGAGAGAGACCTAGTTCTGTAACTGAAATACGAAGTTTTTTGGGATTAATTGGATATTATCATAGATTTATCTAGGGTTTCTCTCAAATAGCTTCATTATTGACTCGGTTGACCTGAAAAGATCAGCCGTTCATTTGGGATGACAAGTGTGAGATCGCATTTCAAAAATTAAAGGAGAAAATGAGTACAGCACCGGTGTTGATTATTCCTAATCCATAATTGCCATATGAAGTATATACGGATGCATCTCTGAAGGGTATGGGATGTGTGTTGATGCAAGATGAGCGGATAGTGGCTTATGCCTCTAGACAGCTCAGGCTGCATGAAATAGAGCTTACTATAGTTGTGTTTGCACTAAAGAGAATTACTCGACCCTTGACTTAGAGCTTGCCGTAGTTGTGTTTGAACTAAAGATTTGGCGGCATTATTTGTATAGAGCAATGTTCAGTGTTTTCAGTGACTACAAGAGCTTGAAATATGTAGTGGACCAGAAGGAACTTAATATGAGGCAGAGAAGGTGGATGGAGTTCTTGAAGGACTATAGCTTCGAATTTAAATACCATCCGAGAAAAGCAAATGTTGTTGTAGATGCCTTAAGTCAAAAGTCATTGCACGTTGCTTGTCTAATAGTGCAAGAGCATAAATTGCTGGAATCCTACCTGGATATTCAGCATGACTCACTGGAACTAACTTTACATAGTTTACATTCCACAGAGATTACCAATGAGTTTTGAAAAGAGTTAAGGATAGCACAGCTTGAGGATGAGCATCTGTTGAAAATTTGAGAAGATGTAGAGGAAAGGCGAACCACAAACTTTGGTTTCAGTGATGATGGATTTGTTATGTATTGATATCATGTTTATGTACCAAGCGAGGGTGATTTAAGAAAGAAAATTCTGAATGAGGCACATAAAAGTAGATATACAATTCACCCTAAAGCAATTAAGATGTACCAGGATATGAAGCGGTATTAGTGGTGGCTTAGAATGAAAAGGGATGTTACAGATTTTGTATCTCGATGTTTAATTTGTCAAAAGGTTAAAGTCGAGCATCAGAGGCTAGTAGGAACTTTACAACCACTAGAGATACCAAAGTGGAAGTGGGATACTATATTTATGGATTTTATTTTGGGATTACCAAGAACCCATTCCAGTCATGATTCTATTTGGGTGATTGTAGATAGATTGACAAAGTTAGGCTATTTTTGGCAGTGCGAATAAGTGATTCATTAGAGAAGTTGGCAGAGATATACATTCAGGAAGTTGTGAGATTGCATGGGGTGCCAAAGGACATTGTCTCTGATCATGATCTGAGGTTTACCTCAAACTTTTGGAAAGCGTTGTAGAGAGCAATGGGTACTGAATTAAGATTTAGCACAGTGTATCATCCATAGATTGATGGACAGACAGAAAGGACTATACAAACTCTAGAAGACATGTTGAAAGCTTGTGCCTTGGAACTGAGAGGCAACTGAGATAACTGATCTTAGCCATCTTCCTTTGGCTAAGTTTGCCTAAAATAATAGTTTCCACTCTAGTATAGGGATGGCTCCCTATGAGGCACTATATGGAAGGAAATGTCGATCTCCTCTCTGTTAGGTTGAACTGAGTGAGAGAAGCATTATGGGTCTTGATATTGTGGATCAAACGACATAAAAAATTTAAATGATAAGGCAGAAACTTCTAATGGCTCAGAATAGGCAGAAAAGTTATGTAGATAAACAACAAAAGCCGTTGGAATTTATGGTTGGTAACCATATTTTTCTAAGAGTTTTACCTATGATGGGAATCGGGAGGTCAATCCGAGAAAAGAAATTTTCTCCTCAATTCATAGGTCCATTTGAGATCTTCAAGAAAGTTAGGCCGGTTGCCTACCAAATCACCTTACCACTATAATTATTTAGGATTCATGATGTGTTTCATGTTTCTCAATTGAAAAAATATCAACCTAATCCATCTCATGTGATTAAACTCGATGACATAGAGCTGCAAGAGAATATGACATATCGAGCAGAGCCAGAATGAATAGTAGATATTAAAGATAAGCAATTGCGGAACAAGACTATTCGACTGGTTAAGGTGGTGTGGAAAGAAATGGCTCCTGCTGATGCTACCTGGAAGACAGAGGACAAAATGAAGCAGCAATATCCCTATTTGTTTCCCTAGGTATATGTTAGGGTTGTTGTTGAATTTTGGGGGCAAAATTCCTTTAAAGGAGGGGAGAACTGTAACATTCAAAAACTTTAAATCTATAAAAAAAATTGATTAATTAAGGGATAAATTAGTTAAAAATATGATTAATTTATTTAATTATGTTTTTGGGTTAGTAATTAGATTTTTGGGTCATATTTGGCTCTAACTTAAGTTAGGATGAAAATTGGATCAAGTGGGGAGGTATCAAGGGGAGAAAATTAACTTGTTACTTGTTGCATCGTGAGCCGCAGCTTGCGTGGTGTGCACTGCGGTGCACGGCACAGCAGGTAACTTAAAATTTTGAAAATGATAAGAAAAAGTCAGATTTTATGGTAGGAAACCTAGGGCACAAAGGGGGCAACTTTGAGCACTGTTAGGGCATCATTTTAGGAGAATTTTGAAGACAAGTTGAGCCTTCAAACTCTTAAGTAAGTTTCCTACCCTTCTCCTCTATCTTTTCATCTCATTTTTCATAAGATTTGGAAGAGTGAAAATTTGATCTGATTGGATTAAGCCATGAGTCTATGTTTTGAAAGTTTCTATTGACTCTAAAGGCTTGATTTAGGTTTATTAATCTTGGATATACGGTAATATAAAGCTACTTTGTTGTTTGGTGAAAGTTGGATCAAGCCCTAACTTGATCATAGGGTTTTAAAGTATGATAAGTTGAGATATTAAGTGTTATGTTGTGAGAGAGTTAGAGGGAGGCTTAAAGGGATTATGTGAACAAATTATAATCTTAACAAGCCTTTTTGTTGAGAATATGAGTGAGAAGTGGGGAAATTGAGAGGTTATTGGTAACTAATAGTGCTTATGTCAATTGAAAATTAACATATAGTACTTGTTGATGTAGATTGTGGTGTAGGAAGACTTACCTTGACACAAGAAGAAATTTAGTACCACGGGTAACCCTTTTAGTAATAAAAGGGTTGAGGTAACTAGCTAATTTGTATTATTTATTACCTTGAATAAGTTATTCTCAAGTTGCTTTTCTATGATTTGTGAGTATATATGTATAAATTCTTTAAAGATTAACTATTTTAGAAAATGAATGGAGTATTGGTTTGTGAAATTCTATTTTTTTGAAGTAAATGGTAAGATTTGTTATATTTGTTTAGAAAGTTGTTTATACATGGTCAAGTGGAGATATGTAGTGAATTGTGGCATATTAAAGGGTGGGAGGTCACCCTAGTAGAGTTAGTAAAGATTAAGTCCATATGGCATTGCTAGTACCTTTGGAGGCCAAGTAGAGCATTTACTCTCTTTAGTGCCCGAAAATGGGTACGGTGTTGGAGACTTACTCTCCTTAGTACCTAAAAGGGTGTGAAGTTAGAGAATATGCTCCTTAGCTTCCGTAGGATGCAGTGTTTGAGTAATGACACTCCAATTACTTGTAATAGGGGGAATCAGTAGTCCAAAAGTGGTTTAGGATACCTTGGCTGAGTAGTCTTACCATGGATGGTGAGCTTGGGGACCATACATATGGTTTGGTTCTATAAAATAGCCTACCAATTCAGTTGGGAGTATTGGAGGATCGGATGGTTAGGGATCATACATGTGACTTGTGGTGATTTTATATGTTGTGCTTATTTTACTTAGTTTAAGGCTTGCCTATAACTTGGCATGTTAATCAATAATGTATATTATCTTAGTTATTAAGATAATATAGTTTTACTGTTGAGACTGAGCTAAGAAAGGAATCGAGCAAAGATTCACAGTTTTGCTACATCTAATAGTAATGCCTGATTTTGATTTGAATGGTATACATAAACTTATTATATGATATTATATGTTGTCAACTAGGAATGCATATTATTTTGATTGGTTGTACTTGTTTCATATTATGTTATTTTGTATTTTAGCCTAATATTGTATATGATGTGAATATGTAAAATTTTTATGGTGATGGCTAAAATACTAATACAAGTGCAAGGAATGTTTTATCTATGTAGTGACAATGTATTTATAATGTATTATGTGGCAATAAAGGCCAAATAGTGCATGCAGTATTGATTATGTGTTTTAGCCATATTGGGTGAAATGGCCATTGAGTGGCCAAATTTTGTGTTTGATATGCTTTTGTGTGTTTGAATGCTCACTCAAGTGTATTTTGGTCCATTGGATTTGGTTCAAGCCTCACAATGGGTTAATAGTATAAGTTATGAGTTT